ATGTGAGTTCTTTATGACTAATGTTGAGTCCATGGATTATACACACTCTCACCTTTCCATCATTGTTAGCCTCTTCGGTACCGTGCATTGCCCTTTCTCACCATGAGAGTTGGTGCAAACTTCGTCGGTGCATCCAAACCCCGTGATATGATACGCTCTATCACACATAAACCTCCTTATTTCTTCCTCAAAACAGCCACCATACCTACCTATTATGGCATTTCCGTAGCCATTCCGAGATATATTGCCATGCAACTTTCCACCGTTTCATTTATGACACGCTTCATCATTGTCATATTGCCTTCCATGATCATGTAGTTGACATCGTATTTGTGGCAAAGCCACCATGCATAATTTATCATACATGTCACTCTTGATTCATTGTCCTTCCCGGTACACCGCCGGAGGCATTCATATAGTCATACTTTGTTCTAGTATCGAGTTGTACCTCATTGAGTTGTAAATAAATAGAAGTGTGATGATCATCATTAATAGAGCATTCTCCCAAAAAAAGGGGAAAGGCCAAAAAAAAGAAAAAAAAAGAGAAAAAAGGGACAATGCTACTATCCTTTTTCCACACTTGTGCTTCAAAGTAGTACCATGATCTTTATGATAGAGAGTCTCTTATTTTGTCACTTTCGTATACTGGTGGGAATTTTTCATTATAGAACTTGGCTTGTATATTCCAACAATGGGCTTCCTCAAATGCCCTACGTCTTTGTGAGCAAGAAAGTTGGATGCACACCCACTTAGTTTCTTTTGTTGAGCTTTCATACATTTATATCTCTAGTGCATCCGTTGCATGGCAATCCCTACTCCTTGCATTGACATCAATTGATGGGCATCTCCCTAGCCCGTTGATTAGCCGCGTCAATGTGAGACTTTCTCCTTCTTTGTCTTCTCCACATAACCCCCATCATTATACTCTATTCCACCCATAGTGCTATATCCATGGCTCACGCTCATGTATTGCATGAAAGTTGAAAAACGTTTGAGATTACTCAAGTATGAAACAATTGCTTGGCTTGTCATCGGGGTTGTGCATGATGAGAGCATTCTTGTGTGACAAAAATGGAGCATGACCAAACTATATGATTTTGTAGAGATGAACTTTCTTTGGCCATGTTATTTTAAGGAGACATGATTGCTTAGTTAGTATGCTTGAAGTATTATTGTTTTTATGTCAATATTAAACTTTTGTCTTGAATCTTTCGGATCTGAATATTCATGCCACAATAAAGAAAATTACATTGAGAATTATGCTAGGTGGCATTCCACATCAAAAATTCCGTTTTTATCATTTACCTACTCGGGGACGAGCAGGAATTAAGCTTGGGGATGCTTGATACGTCTCCAACGTATCTATAATTTTTGATTGTTCCATGCTATTATATTATCTGTTTTGGATGTTTAATGAGCTTTATTATACACTTTTATATTATTTTTGGGACTAACCTACTAACCCAAGGCCCAGTGCAAATTGCTGTCTTTTTGCAAATTTCATTGTTTCACAGAAAAGGAATATCAAATGGAATGAAACCTTCGGGAGAGTTATTTTTGGAACAAACGTGATCCAGGGGACTTGGAGTAGACGTCAAAAAAGAAGCGAGGCAGCCACGAGGTAGGGAGGTGCGCCTACTCCCCTGGGCGCGCCCCCCACCCTCGTGGGCCCCTCGCAGCTCCACCGACCTACTTCTTCCTCCTATATATATCCATATACACCCAAAACATCCAGGAGCACCACGAAACCCTATTTCCACCGCCACAACCTTCTGTATCCAAGAGATCCCATCTTGGGGCCTTTTCCGGAGCTCCACCGGAGGGGGAATCGATCACGGAGGGCTTCTACATCAACACCATAGCCTCTCCAATGATGTGTGAGTAGTTTACCACAGACCTTCGGGTCCATAGTTATTAGCTAGATGGCTTCTTCTCTCTCCTTGGATCTCAATACAAAGTTCTCCTTGGTCTTCTTGGAGATCTATTCGATGTAATTCCTTTTGCGGTGTGTTTGTCGAGATCTGATGAATTGTGTGTTTATGATCAAGTTTATCTATGAACAATATTTGATTCTTCTCTGAAATCTTTTATGTATGATTTGTTATCTTTGCAAGTCTCTTCGAATTATCAGTTTGGTTTGGCCTACTAGATTGATCTTTCTTGCAATGGGAGAAGTGCTTAGCTTCGGGTTCAATCTTGCGGTGTCCTTTCCCAGTGACAGCAGGGACAGCAAGGCACGTATTGTATTGTTGCCATCGAGGATAAAAGATGGGGTTTATATCATATTGCTTGAGTTTATCCCTCTACATCATGTCATCTTGGCTAATGCATTACTATGTTCTTACGAACTTAATACTCTAGATGCATGCTGGATAACGGTCGATGTGTGGAGTAATAGTAGTAGATGTAGAATCGTTTCGGTCTACTTGTCGCGGACGTGATGCCTATATACATGATCATGCTAGATATTCTCATAATTATGCACTTTTCTATCAATTGCTCGACAGTAATTTGTTCACCCATCGTAATACTTATACTATCTTGAGTGAAGCCACTAGTGAAACCTATGGCCCCCGGGTCTATTTTCTATCATATAAGTTTCCAATCTATTTTATTTTGCAATCTTTATTTTCCAATCTATATCAAAGAAATATCAAAAATATTTATCTTATTATCTCTATCAGATCTCACTCTCGCAAGTGGTCGTGAAGCGATTGACAATCCCTTTATCACGTTGGTTGTGAGGTTCTTATTTATTTGTGTAGGTGCGAGGTGACTTGCGTGTAGTCTCCTACCGGATCGACACATTGGTTCTCAAAAACTGAGGGAAATACTTACGCTACTTTGTTGCATCACCATTTCCTCTTCAAGGAAAAATTGACGCAGTGCTCAAGAGGTAGCAGTGATAAACCCAAACCGCAACGGATGTTCTCCCCAAGCTACCTCTCCATTTTTTCTGTTTTGCAGCTTGAATTTCCCGTCAAAATATTTTGGGTCCGGCTCCTGTTAACCTAGCCGCGACGGGTGCCGAGCAACTACTATACTCCTTGTTGTGCAATTAAGCTAGACGTTCCCACTGAATTATTTTAGATAACAAGATTATTTTTGCGAAAATATTATAGGGCTCGCTCCTACTCCTGTTCCGGCACAAATGTGGGCATACATCTAGGATCGACTAGAGAGGGGGGTTGACCCGTGGAAGAAGGCGGCGGTTGACCAATTAGGGATCACCAATCCACTCACTCGTAGGCCCAACAAAACTTTCTTTCTTCGGAGAGAGGAACCCCTACCAAGTCGCAGCCATTCCTCCACTGTTTCGGAGAGGATCTCTCCCTGCATCTGCGCTGTAGAGATTGAGTGGGGAACACATGACATGAGCAATAGTTGCACCCTTTCTTTCACATAAAATAACTAACGGTCGACACGTGTGGTGGGCGACATGCATGAACCCATCCAAAGTGCTCATAAAAAAGGTCGGTACGCCGTTTTCTAAAATTGGTTGGTGTGCACCATCGTTCAAGCAGGAAGGCACACGATCACTAATGCATCACGATCACATGAAATATGGGAACCAACAGAAGCATGGTCATTAGCGTGCACGGTGGCGGACCGACCTTTTTTTTTGTGAGCACTTTGGATGGGTTCATGCATGCCGCCCACCGCACGTCCTTTTTCTCATACATTGAGCGTGGTGTGCACCATCGTTCAAGCAACACGCGATTACTAATGCATCACCATCACATAACATGCGGGAGCCAATAGAAGCATGGTCATTGGCGTGCACGGCGGCAAACCGACCTTTTTTCATGAGCACTTTGGATGGGTTCATGCATACCGCCCACCACACATCATTTTCTCATACATTGAGTGTGGTGTGCACCGTCGTTCAAGCAGCAAGGCACGCGATTACTAATGGCCGACACGTGTGGTGGACGGCATGCCTGAACCCATCCAAAGTGCTCATAAAAAAACGGTCAGTCCGCGGCCATGCACGCCAATAACCATGATTCTATTGGTTCCTGTATTTCATGTGATTGCAATGCATTAGTAATAGCGTGCCTTGCTGCTTGAACTACAGTGCACACCAACCAATTTTAGAAAGATTGATAATTTGTGAGTGGAAAGAAAATTTATTCCAACTTGATTATTTGCACAATGTATGAGAGTTGAAACTAAAAACGTGTGAATTCGTAATATGAGAGCTGAAACTGAAATATACATATGATTATTTGCACAATGTATTCTGTTATCAATATAAGTACCATAACAGAATGAAAATATTTTTTCATACGCAGTTGCATGTTGAGGTGAAACTTTTTCACATATGGTTGCATGGTAGGGCGACATATTGGTGTCGCAAATCCTACATCTACGTAAGGCTACGAACATTTTACATAATATCCTAAAATTTGTTAGTGGGGATCACCTATTTAGTGTTAAGATGGACCTTCTAACCAGATTTTCTCTATTTTGTGATTAATTTCATATGACAAATTACAAATTAAGCACAACGGAAATTAATATGATACGGTACAGTTAATTTAGCCATAGTCGGCAATTGATCAATCTTAATCAGCTCGTGGAATCAACCTACAATAATGCTCTCCTACTATGCTAAAGAGGAAGAGGACGTGCAGCCAAAACAGCAACACTGTCATGTGATTCCAAGACCAAGACAGATCTATGTACATGTTCTTCTCTGCATTAGTCCCTTCCCGCCACACGTGAAGCTACACTCCAATCTCCTCTGTTTATACTTTAGAGCGGGACATGGAGGTTTTGTCCTAACCGGGACTCGTCGTCGACCATGCGCACACATGCATGCATGTCGTACGTTGCGATGTACATGTCTCTGTACAATTACATGCAGCATCGACCGATATTCCGGCGGCCAGCCGGTGGAGATGTGCGTGTCTGGCGTCGCCGTCGGCGTGCAGGTTGGCTCCGATGGACATCGATCGGTCACTGGCTCATCCGTGGACGCATGCAAGGGGAGCGCGTCATCGGAGCTGCTCGGCGTCGTCGCCCTCGTCCGTGGCCGAGCAGGAGGCGCCGCCGCAGGTGTTTGCGGCGACGTCGGTGACGCGCAGACCGGTGTCGTAGACCTCGCCGGGCTGCCACTCAGCGGGGAGCACCGCCCAGTCGGCGCGCAGCCACTTGCCGCCGGAGCCCGCGGTGACCACGAGCCGGAGCTGCAGCGGACCGGCCGGCACGCGCGACGTGCGCCACACCGAGGGGGACGCCTCGCGCCGGGTCATGTACTGCCATGATGTTGGCAACGGTGCTGCGTCGCTGTTGGTGCAGCTAGAACCGGTGACCGCCTGCGCGACCTCGACGGCGGCGATGTCGGTCTGGCCGCCCTGGTAGAGGAAGCGGAGGGCGAGGTAGCCCTGGTCCCTGCTGCTCGTCTCCTCTACTTTAACGGCCAGGTTCTTGCTCTTGTACACGCAGGGAATCCTCCTGAAGTCCACGTCGAGGGCCGCGTCCGCGAGCTCGGCGCCACGGTCTGGCGTGGCCATGGCGGCAAAGGCGTCCTTGGTGAGCAGAAAGCGGCCAGCTGCTGTCTTGTTCGTGTCCGGCACTTCGCCTACGACGACGACCTTGACGCCATCCTTCGCGCACGCGCTCCGGCCCCTGCACCTCAGCTGGTAGCAGGCGCCGCATGTCCGGCCGCCGCGGAAGAAACCGGCGCTGACGGCGGCAATGTGGAAGCCCTCGTCGACGGCCGTCTCCGCCGCCGCCGGGCCACCGTACCCGCACGCGGCCCCGGTGAGCGCGCCGGCGTCGGGAGGGAGGATGGACGCGGTGGACCTGCGCGGGCACCAGCCGCAGCGGTACGTCGCCGACGAGGCCCGCGCGGCCGGCGCCGAGGCCAGCAGCAGGATCAGGACGGCAACCGCCGCGGGGAAGAGGGTCAGAAGCAGCTGCGGCAAGGCGGCCATTATCGCCGTTGGTTGTTGTAGATGGAAGATGTGATGAAGTGATGATAGCCTAGAATTAGTCCCGTCCAGCGGATCGATGGATAAGGCAGTTGTGAGAGACTCGTTGAAGAGGCCGGGGGTGCGTGGTGGTTTAAAGCGAGCGGGAGGACGAGCGGCATGGGCCGGGGACGTGGGGAGCACGATCGATCCAAGCCAAGGTGAAGGTGGCGCGAATGCGACGTGACCTCGCTCTCATGCGCGCGCGCAGAAACGGTCGTAAACTCGATCGCTAGTTGGCTAGTGCGCGCGCGAGACTTTGCACACGGGACGTACGCTTGGTCGAGAGTCGAGGGCAATGTCCGTCGACGTCGACCGACCTTGCCCCGTTGTCCGATCAGGACAATTGTACGCGTACGACGACACACGGGTCGACGGATGTCGCTGTCCGAAAGCGAGCTGCCCACAATGAGTAACGAGCGCATGCATGCTGCCAGACCGTGTTGATTCCGTCCGTGATCTTGGAGTGACTGCGTGCATTGCACTCTCGACCGTGACGACAATAATTTCCATGCGACAGCTACTCGTGCACTTACATTAGTATTTCCTCCGTAAACTAATATAAAAGTGTTTACAGAGGAAGTAATACATACATGAAATTTAACGGCCAAGCATATGCTCAGATTTCAAATTCGGCGTTTGATTGCACGCACGCGTGAAACAGCGGTCTCGTTGTTGCGTGCATGTGACCAGAGGTAGGCACCTACCGCTACAATGCTATGACACGGGCTCCCTTAAGCCTGAACAGCTCCGAATTAAGTGCCGGTGGTGGAGCTGAACGAGTGAGACTGGCAGCAAGGAATCTTTGGACTTGGACCCCGCCGGCCGGCATCGCCGACGGAGACGGGACAAATGATTGAACCGGACCGGCCAGGCCAGGCCAGGCCGTACGTGGAGCAGAGATTAATTGTTCCGCACAACTTTTAAACAAGAATAGCTGCAATGAGAATCAAAGATCTTCACAGCTTCCTTTTCAAACTGAATATACTACTAGTACAAATGTTGCGCGGAACATTTAAATACTTACAACAGCTGCCATGAATATCACAGATCTTCACATTTGAACTTTTAAACGCGTATTATAATAGCTGCTACGAGTATCACAGATCTTCACATTTGAACTTTTAAATGCTTATTATAACAGCTGCTATGAGAATCAGCGATCTTGAGTTATTAACTAGTAACTCCACCACACACAAAAAAACAACTAATTAAGCTTTTTTATGGAACTAATTAAGTAATCAGAGCTGGAAATAGATCAACAGCATCGATCGATGGACGTGTGGGTGCGTGCCATGAATGAGCTTACATATATGTATATGTATTTGCACTCCATGAAACCCATGTGCTAACAGAAAACCTCCTAGCTAGCACAATTCTAATAATTCGCACAAGGGAGCTGGACATCAGCAGCAGAGACAGACCGATCTCCATGATTTCGCCTGCTTATCCTCAAGGCTGTCTTCGACTTCTCCAGGATGCATGCCAGTATATTTATTCATCTTTGTCTGAGGATTATAGTACCAATCCCGAGATATCGGCCATTTTACTTACTTAAATTAGCAAGCTGCCGTTGTAATAAACTGCAAGTGTACGCTCGTTGCTGCGGACTGGTATGTAATTATGTTAATAAATATTTAGGATTTTGCTATAAATCGACGTTGGATTTTTTAGCATGGCAAATCAAATGTCTCAGATATTAAATTATGTTGTGGTGAGGATGCCACTTTTCTTTAGGAAACAGGGCAAATCCTTGTCATGTTCAGCTTTTGCCAGGATTTACCATGCTTGTTAAAACAAATTGTCATCCTCGTGGCAACATAATTGACCATAAAAAATGTTCGATCTGCCATGCCTAAGTCTGATTTAGATTTTTTACTTTTCCTTTATATATGGACTGGTTGATGTATTTTTGTTATTCAGTTAATGAAAAGGGGTTATGCTCAGTTAAGAAAAAGATTCTATATGTTTCTGAATATTTAATTGGCTACTGTGGATATGTATGGCCACATTTTCCGGAGCAAGCTAAGTAGACTGATAATTCTCAGTCAATCTTACATTTTCTTTCATACATACATATTAAAGGAATTGTTTCTTGTTAACAAGGGAATGGTGCAAAAGGACCTGGTACTACATTGAATTAAAGCGGTAGGACAATACTCTTACATTATGAGGAGTCAGGACCCAATAGGAATAGGAAATTACAAACCAGACCCTAACTTTTACAAGGAGGATCCGAACGGAAAAAAAGAAGATTGCAACCATGTCCAAATCCACTCCCGGTTTGATTCAGTTGCAATGTCGTCGAGCACGAAAACCACTTGGGATGCCACAAACCCCCACAGCACCACCAACAGGACGTGGACCCCGAGTAGAAGCTTCATTGCCTTCCTTTTTAGCTCATGGGTTGCGAGGAAGATACATGATTGTCTTTCGACAAGATAGTTCAACGGCATGGCCACAATGGCCGGCAATCGACAACGGCGGCACACATTGTTGCTTCTTCGAGGATGCCATTGATGATGTGCTCATTCCAATGTATGCTATCCAGCTCTACTCCTTATCCATCTCCACGATGGCTTATAGAGTTGAGGCCGAGCAGAGGGCTCTCCTCCAGATCGGGGTGCCCGACAAGTTTATGGTAGGAGATGCCAGTGTTGTCGCGGCTGACTGAAGGAAGCACCGCACCACCACCATCATTAGCCAGACAAGCTGCGCCAGCCACTAGTCACTACTCGCATGTGACGGCGGCGCACTCCCTAACATCAACGCCACATGCCTCCGAGGCAGACTCAACCTTACGGACGCGGTTTTTTACCTTCGCGTTCCATCTGTAGCGTGAATCCAAGCCGATCATCATGCATGTGGTCTAATCGGCTAGGGCCACACATGTGCTGCCATGCATCAACTACTAGTACAGCCTATAGATTCCTTTTCTTGCTAGGTCCTACTCCTATGCATGCATGCGCTGCGCTCTTTTCCACCCATATTCTTGTTTAGGTGACAGAACAAGGTTTTTAATTTTATATGGTATGCATAATTAATGTAGCTGATTACTATGAGATGTTTACATGTTAACGCATGACACCACTAATTATGTAGTAGAAGGGCTAAAAAATCATCATAAGTATAAATTCCAAAAGAACTCTACAATGATGTATGTGAACTTTGCAATAAAAATAGAAGGACTTTTGGAAAAAGCGTAAAAACCAAAAGTTCTTTGAGTTTTGGCGATGAAGTTCCAAAAACGCGCACGTAAAGTTCTCTAGCCTATTTTTCAAAAGTTGCGAGCTATGTCAGAATTTTTGAAAAGTTCTTCTATTTTTCATGGATAAGTTCATATACCAATTTAACAAAGTTTGGTTCTCTTTGAAACTATTTAAAGAACGTTCAAATTTGAACTATCTCAGCACAATTTAAACCACATGATATTTTAATTTCATGGCGTTTGAATTACTTACAGCGGGAGAGATAAGCACAGAATTAATACGATGGCTGGAGGGAAGTAGGAGAGATAATCACGGAATTATTCATGTGCAATGTGCATGGCTCGCATGCAAGAGATAAAGCGAGCGAATCTAGCATAGCTCCAGCTACTAGCTAGTCCTAGCGGGGGCTCTTGTTAAGTGGGATGTGGGTCCGGATGGTGTGGATCCGCATGCGAACGTGGGCGACCGAGATTGGCGCTGTGCATGGAACGCGAACGTAAAAGACTTTTTCGCAACCTTACTTCTATTATCTACACAAGGAACCAACACTCCTCTCCCATATCCACATCGAGTTCCAGCGCCACTGATGAAGAATGGGGAGAGAGTCGGAGCGCCTCTCAACACAGGCGAGAGAGGGAGTGTGGGGTTTTAAAAAATGCCAGAATTTTTCTTAAAAAAATGTTCACCCAATTAAAAAACTCTTCATCTCGTGCAAAGAAAATTGTAGTTGAAAAGAATAAATCCTGCACGGATCTTAGTATTATCAATTGACTGAAAATTGGCAAGCCTGTTAGTGCTACTTATCTTGTCGGGATTATCACTGATTCATGAGCGGTAGTTAAGCAGGAAATTCTCATTAGAGATGGCTCCCGCTCCCGCTCTCGCTCCCGCTCCACCCTCCCTGCCGGTCACCCCGCCGGCCTCCGGCAACGCCCCAGCCACCAAAAACCCACCGGGCACCCCTGCCCCTTGTTGGGGAACGTAATAATTTCAAAAAAAATTCTACGCACACGCAAGATCATGGTGATGCATAGCAACGAGAGGGGAGAGTGTGATCTACGTACCCTTGTAGACCGACAGCGGAAGCGTTAGCACAACGCGGTTGATGTAGTCGTACGTCTTCACGGCCCGACCAATCAAGCACCGAAACTACGGCACCTCCGAGTTCTAGCACACGTTCAGCTCGATGACGATCCCCGGACTCCGATCCAGCAAAGTGTCGGGAAAGAGTTCCGTCAGCACGACGGCGTGGTGACGATCTTGATGTACTGCCGTCGCAGGGCTTCGCCTAAGCAATGCTACAATATTATCGAGGTCTATGGTGGAAGGGGGCACCGCACACGGCTAAGAATATGATCACCTGGATCAACTTGTGTCTCTAGGGGTGCCCCCTGCCCCCGTATATAAAGGATCAAAGGGGGGGGGGTGCGGCCGGCCAGGAGAGGGCGCACCAGGAGGAGTCCTACTCCCACTGGGAGTAGGATTCCCCCCCTTTCCTAGTTGGAATAGGATTCGGGAGGGGGAAAGAGGAGAGAGAGAAGGAAGGGGGGGCGCCGGCCCCCTCTCCTTGTCCTATTCGGACTAGGGGGGGAAGGGGCGCGTGGCCCATCCCTGGCCACCTCTCCTCTCTTCCACTAAAGCCCACTAAGGCCCATATACCTCCCGGGGGGTCCGGTAACCTCCCGGTACTCCGGTAAAATCCCGATTTCACCTGGAACACTTCCGATATCCAAATATAGGCTTCCAATATATCAA